GGGTCTAACTTTCTGATCCTGACAACATTTAAGACAAACTTACTGGAAGCTATATTTACCTCCACGCCTGATTGCGGCAGACAAGTGGTAAACTGAGTGTCAATATCTTCCGATCTAAACCGGCAAGACAAGGAGCCCGTGGCTCAATGCTTAGTGTTTTAGACGACCGGTCACAAGGTCGCGGGTTAGAACCTCGGGTGGAGCACTTCTTGGGGTTGGGTATGACTGGCTGATGACGGCTAATGAGTCAGAAATGGCCATTCCGGTTTCCCTGCCTTTATCGGCAATGCTAATTGGCCAGTTTATTAACGCTGCTCCGACTAGTTCTTAGCCTGTAGCAACGCGACGCAGCTCTGAAGAATAATCACCAAGCTAGGAAGGTTAATGTGCGATTGCTGGAGCGGAAATTTAATTCGACTGAGCCTTCGAACTCGTACGAGAACCCGTATTTATAGAATATGAAGAGACGATGGCACATGAGCAGTTCCACAGTTTGATAACGCCGGCGGAGCGAGGGTACAAATCTCCTTGGTCGAAGCTGGCCAGCCTTCTTCTAATGATACGACAGTTTTTTCTGTCTTGGCTAAAAGTCGAGCCACGCCAGCTCGTTGTAAAGGTAGGGGGATAACCCAGGATGTCCATTCAGAGGCGCAGGCACCCTCGGCCCACGAGGTCTTATTAGTGGTCTTCCTTCAAGTTAGCGACTTTGGACAACGGGTCGCCTCTCTGAACTCGAGTATTCGTGAAAGGGATCATTGCGTTGTGTGATGCCTATGAGGGTAAGATCAGTCATGGCATGGGATCCGAGAAATTGCTCCAGATCACTCACCCGCCTGCAACTGGTGCTTCGTCCCCATGTCTCTAGTGCATGCTTTAGCTGCTGAACCGTGAGCGTTACTCACGTTAAACTCTGCCGATATGTGTTCGTCCCTCTTGATATATGCCGCATAAAAGGCAGCGGATGCTGCGGCGTTTGTGGCTCTATCTTGCGGACCCTTCGGTAGCTTGTAGAGGAGGGGGGGAGGAGCGGCTGATGGAGCGGCCTGCGTAGTGGTTTCTTGCTGAGTACACATGTTCGTCCTCTGGATCGCTGTAGTTTGTTTTACCCTTCGGGAGATCGGCCTAACAATTAATTAAGGGGCGAATAACAATGCTCCTTGCCGACAAAGACAAGGAAGACTGCAGTGGCCATTTGTCACTCATTAGCCGTAATCAAACAGTCATATCCATCCTCAGATTGTGTACCACCCGGGACTCAAGCCCGCGAACTGTCCATTACAAGTCCAACGCCTTAGCCCACTGCGCCACTGGCTCGTTATCTTGATGGTTTTAGATAGGATCGGTCGACTTTGGTTGGTAGAAGCTCACCGACCGGTTACGGACTCATTCGTCCAGTAACACTGGCTGTGCGGCGGCTGGTGGAGCTCGTGGGTGAGTTAAAGGGCAGAATAGGACGACTAAGTCCCGTAACCGATCAGTAAGCGCTCAGCACTTGATAATGACCATGCTCTGCTAAGCAGATATCTTACTAGTTCGGTTAAAGGCTGTCATTACTGGAAATAGGCAATTACTCTTGACAGGTTGTCTTGACGAGGACAGGAAAGGATACGTTTGTAAACGGAATTAGTGCGCTAAAATACACCTTTGGAATCAACCCTTCAGAAATAAGTCCATCACATGAACTGTTGGCACCAATTAAAGTAGGCAATACTAAGGAATATGGGCTAGGCAGAAAAAAGATTATGTGATCCGAAGGCAATCCCCCCAGCGTACGCAGTAGGTCGAGAGGTAATCGCCTATCCAGTTCAGTTGAGTTGTATTAAGGGAAAGGTAGGCAAACGCCTTTGAGCTGTGTCCCTATTGGTGACACAGTGGCTAAGAAATGCATCGATACAGTAGAAAAATTGAAACACTGGTCGTTACCATGATTGCAGGCAAAACGTGAGCAGTGGAACATAGTAATCACTCACGGTTACTAACTCATTACGAGTAGTATAATGACATGACTTTAGGAACAGTAGTTTGGCTCATTGGCAATGTCAAATGACACGAGCCAGTAGATGGAACAAAAGCAAAAAGAGCAGATATTAAGAAAACGCGTTAGACACTTCGGAAACTATAGTAGTTTGAATGCGATTTGAGGGAGTTTAAAGGAAAGGAAACTATCACTCGTGAGAGGAAAATATATGCGAGATAAGACCGTCATGCTAATGAGAATGTGCAAGACAAGTCAGAGGGGCCCATCACGGGCACCCCAGTATATGAAGGATCGCAAGGAGGAGGGGACGGTAGAGCTCACGAGATAATCACCAAATTGCGGATATACG